CAAATACTCATTATAGGCTACATAGGCTTACACACACGCACGCACACACACACTCTCACACACAGACACACAATAAACGCACACGCTTATTGTGGCCCTTACACACCACACATAGGCCCTACACACACACGCACACACACACCAAGAGACAAATAAAGGGGAGCTCCGGCGGGCTGCTGAGTCACGCTAACTAAAATCGGGTGAAAAGTGACGCCGTGCATCCATGTCGCAATTAACACTACCATAATAAATAGGCCTAGTCTAGCCAGATAGATAGGCCTTTCCAATACCCCGAACGAGACCCTGGCCCTCACTCCAATTTCTAGATTTTATCTATCCGACACACTGTGTTATAACATTATTGAATTGGTACTAACCAATTTCAAACCAAATCAGCGAGAAAAGATATAGATCTAGGGGCCTAGGCCCTAGGCAGTACTTCCTATTGATAAGCGTCATAATTTGAAAATGCTACAAAAGTATTTAAATAATAAAAGGAAAAATTGTACTGCTTATTACTGCACACTGGCTAACAGTGACACATCTCCCATTCGCAGTGCAGCGACTTTCACTTTTCAGCTTTTAAAAAAATTCAATAAAACTGAAAAAAGCTCCAAGAAACTACCCCACCCTTCCCCAAAAATAACAAAATAACAAAAATTAAAAACCCAAGCTAAACTACAAAGAAAAAAAAAGATGAAAATAAAAGTACCATTTGTCTACATTCACTTTCTCTATATTAAAAATGTAATTTATGTGGAATTCCGGAGTCAAGGGAAAGTTTTGTTCAGTTTTAAGCTCATCTTGACTGCTAACCATGCCATAGTTAACATTTTAACATTGACTGCGGTTTTTTTTATGTGGTTGTTTCGGGGTTTTTTGGTAAATGTTTTACGGCGCTCGCAACTGCATAAGGTCATATAAGCACGCGGAACACGCATTAACATTTCAGGTGGTAGGAAATTTTTTATTTTGCCCAGGTGGCGGGCGAAGCCTACCTTTATCGATTTTAGACCACCAAAAGGGACTTTTAATGTGCGCAACTTGCACACGGGACATCCAAGATTTTTCCCCCTTGTCCAAGAAGGCTAGGTGTAAATCTTTCCTACCAGAAGATCAGGGAGGTGGCTGATAGACAGTAGTAAGAAGGAGCCAAGGAGTATGCAGTGTCTGAAGGCTGCAGAAAAAGTCAGGAGCCCAGAGGAGGGGGCTTGAAAGGAGGTTCGTGAGGGAGTGGGGGCAGAAAGTGGAGACGAAAGTAGAGGACAAAACATTGCTAGAGAGCAGGAAAGGAGGTGAAAAGAGACTATTTTAGAGAAGAAATGTTTTCCATCGCTACCCGGATTCGAACCCAGGACCTTTAAATGAGAGGCAAACTCCTTTCCTCTAGGCCAAGAGAGCCCCCAGGACTTCCATAACGAGCGACCACCCCAACACAAACACAAAGAAGAGACATGACCCTAACCCTGCCCCTTCCCTTACCCCTAGCCCTCTATTCTACTCTGTGCTCATTACAGAGAAGTATTATTTATTATGAGGCATCGTAGTGAAATCGGGCTCTCGTCTAAATAACGAATCGGAGAAACAGGCATTTTTCAGCCAGCTTGAAAATTTTGTTGGAATTCTTATATTTTGGCTTTTAACCTCTCTCTTTTAGGTCCATATAAAAACACATTTCCTGTTCATTAAAAGCACAAAATATCATGTCATTTTTCAGTTTTCAAAAACTCTTTAGCTATTGAAGTTACCATACTTTGGCAGCCATTTTCTCGCTTTATGCACCACTGAAACCAGGCGACCTCACTTCATTAAATCACAAATATCTTGAGCTCTATTGACGATAAAAGGATATTTATTTCTCTGGAAGCGAGGCAAATAAATTAGCTGTCAGAGAAAACCAATTATAACACCACCTGCCCAATAGTTTATGAGCGCCTGGTTCCATCACGTCGTGACACATATAATATAATGCATCCCCCACATGCTAAGGAAAATCCTACTGTGAGCAAGACGGTTGTTCGTTTATTCATATTAAGAGACAGAACGGTAAAACTTATTCAATAGAAAGAGAAATGATGCGATGAATTCATCCATCGACAAGACCTGCAAAGAATGAGGGAGAAATTCACTAATGAGTGACCACTATGAAATAGAAAGAGGGGTAAGGTTTATGGTTAACAGGCTAGGGTTTGGGTTAGGGTTTAAGGTCTACGTCCCTTCTTTATATTGTGTTTGTTGGAGTGGTGGCTCACTACGGAAGTCCTAGAACAAGCCATAACGATGTAAACAACTTGAAAGTACTGGGACTGAACAAGTGTCTGCGTTTGTTCTGTCTTGCATTGAAATTTATGCATAAAAAGATGTTTTTTTCCACAGACGAGACTCTGGTAGTACAAGCCATAAAGATCATGTTATTGAGTAAATGAGTATAAAGAGCTGAGACTGAGCCTTCTGAGTTGATGCTTCAGCTCTGACAAGATGTGTGTAAGATAAACAAAAACATCTCGCTTTGTTTTTGGTAGAAACCTGTGTTTCCCGCCCAATGATGTGAACATATGTGTCATGGCATGGTGGAATCAAGCGCTCATCAATCTTGGGACATATGGAGTTATAAATTGTTATTGTCTTAAAAAAGCCTGTCCATTTGCTTTGCTTTTGAGGAAAAAAAATATTTGAATACAAGTCAAGATATTGGCAATTGAAGGTGGTGGGGGTCACCTGGTTTCAGAGGTAAAATTAGCGAGAAAATGGCTGCCAAAGTTGAGTTATTACTTTATCTTGATAGTCAGTGGAAACTGAAAATTTATATTTTTTTCCGCCTTTAAACAATGTTGTTCAGTAAAAATCCACACAGAAATGTGTTGTTTAATAGGCGTGAAAAATGTTGAGCCAAAAAACAAAAATTTGATAAAAATTCCCAAACCTACAGAAAAATGCCAATTTCTTGACTTTCATTATTTTGACAAGCGCCTGATTTCACCACGATGCCTCACATATACTAGTATGACCTCATGGTTAAAATAATAATCTTTCAAGGGATGTCACTTTCTTTATTCAAAACTTAATAGAAGCTGAAATATCATCAAAACATGACATGGGTTTTATCTGCCTTATGGGACGTTTACAGTACAGTGCGCTGGTCGGCGAATTATCCAAAAGTATGAGGTATGTCAACAGTGCAGCCAAGGGCTAGTGGGCAGCAATGTACAATAAAGTGTAGATCTGTGGGTATAATTTCACTTTCCACTTTCTAACATTTTATAAGAGAATCCAGGTAAGGAGAGATTGATAATCACATTTCCTGTCTATCAATATTCAACCATTGATTGTTCTGTGAAATTCAAAAGTTTTCAAAACAAACTCATCTCAGTGGGACATTCATCTCATCTCAGTGGGACATATGCCTGAGGGATTGTGAGTGCAAGATATCAATATGATATATAGGATATATAAATAAACTGAACCCCCCCCCCCACCAGTGGTTAGCCTGAAATGGGGCAATTTGAATCACACCGAGTTCTCCAAATCTGAATAAGATGTTGGAAAGTAGAAATATAAATAAGGATTTGTCTTCCAAGTAGCAGTATGTAACCTGCTACTGACAGGAAATTCATTTATCCTCAGTTCAACAGCAATTTAAATAGCAATAAATACAGTTGAGTATAATCATATATGTCGACATGCTTTGGGAAGTGGATGTGATATTGATTTTTGAAAATGTCAATAAATGAAAATATACGGTCAAAGGGAGAAAGACAAGGGGAGGTCAGCAGTAAACTGAGTAAGGGATAGGGAAAGAGAGTGAGTGATCGGAAGTGGGCGTAGGGAGGTGATGCCCAACGCACGAGACGCTCGCGTCTGTGAGGCACTGTACTGTGTTGGAGACTACACTGTGTAGGCCCTACATGACGTACTAAAGCCTGGTGTGTCGATATAGGCTACTTGGCGGATATGTAGACTTAATGAAGAACTAATGCGTTGACCGTTAGCGTGGCTTTTCCCCCCCCATTTATATTTGTGGACTTCGCCAGATACCCATGAAGCATGTCGATAAAGCAGAGTGGGCCGAAAAAAAAGTTGATATAAGAGCTATTGTTTTGTGAAGATATTGAAGGAAAAATTTCGTAATTGGAAAATATATCGATATGCCAAAATGTCGATAAATGGGATGCCGATATAAGAGGAGTATACTGTAAATAAATTACACTTTATTGATCCCCACAGGCCAATTTGGGTAACAATGGCAAACATACACACACATAAATATATGTATATATATAGCCTACAATATAACACTGATTGGTGGAACACAGAAGACTTGAAATCAGGCATCCGTTGAACTGTGCCTGTGGTCCCATGTTTTTTCGTTCTTTATTTTTGCAAGATATCCCTCGAACTACGGATCCCTCGAACTACCGAGGCAGGTCCCGAGGAATTTGAGCTATCCGTGTTACACTATAAGTATAAGATAAATGTTAATTTGTAC